GCAACTGAATGACCAGTTGCCATGGTGCGTACTGACCACCAGGGGGCAGATGCTCAACACAGGAGCTATCCCCTGGTGGTTCATGTGCTCCTACAGCGGGAATGTTGCTCAGCTGACTGACCCGGCCCAGTGGCCCACCAGCTAGGCAGCAGCCACTCACTCCCTCAGTAGTCCTGCAGGTCCATTCTCTGGAGAATGGGCCAGGCATCAAACAATCCTGTCTGGCACATACTAAGTATTTAAGTATTTGTCAAATAAACATAAATGCATAACAGTATAAAACTTGAACTGGACATATATTTCCTGAATTGTTATATTGAGTCTTTACCTCTGGGTAGGCAAGAAGGGATTTTTTTAACGTTGTTTTTCTATTATAGTTTACATTCAGTATTATTTTGTTATAGTTTCAGACATACAGAATAGTGGTTATACAATCATATACTTTAGAAAGTGTTCCCCCTGATATTTCAAGTACCCACCTGGCACCATAGCATATGTACTTATTAAAATATTATTGACTATATCCCCTATGCTGTACTTTACATCCTCATGACTATTTTTGTAACTATCAATCTGTACTTCTTAATCTCTTCACCTTTTTCACCCAGACCCACACCCTCCACCCCTCTGGCAACCATAAGTTTGTTCTGAGAAGGGAATTTGTAACTTCTGCTTCATCCATTAATTTATTTCAGTTCATTCTAGATGTTAGAGACATGAGGTTACTTTTTTACATTATATCTGCATTGTTATTTTAAAATCGAAAGTCAAGATCCACATTTAAAATTACCACTATAAAAAAATAGATCCTTAAAAATGAGATTATACTATATGAGCTTTAATAGTCTTTATAGACCTACACAATTTTATCATTCATTAATCCTACTCTAGGCCATATATTATGTAGGTGTGTGTTAATAATAGGAGGTGAGAAAATTATTATATGTATTTACCCATTTTTTTTTCTCTATATGAAGTGACCATAGGAGAAGCTTAATGGATAGTATAGATTCCGAAAGCAAGTTACTTTCCCCACCTGATTTCCCATAAGCACTGCTTAATGCAGAGTATACACTTTGTACCTTGATGTTTGGCATTTACAAAGCCAGAACTAATTGCTGTTATCTGAACAGCACTCCAAATACTGACGTAAAATGAAGGCTTGATTATTACATAGCTTGGAAGTTTAGAGATTTTTTCTTGAAGTTTGAGATTTTTAAAATGTTTATTCTTAAAGAAAGGTAGTGCCATTACTCAATATTCAGCCCAGCAAATTGGAAAAAATACAACAACAATAACAGATGCTGTGGGTAACTGCAGTGCTCTGCCATTAGTTTGACTTGTGTTTTTCATTTTGAGACTGGGTGAGTCACCCACTGAGAGTTATAAAGTAAAACAAAGAAGATTCAAGATTTTAATAAGATGTTACCTTGAGCTCCTTACATTGAAGATAGTTTATCTCTGTCTGGATGCAGGTGTTTATATATGTGAACACTCACACAAAGATAGAGACCCCAATAAACAGGTATAATAATAAAATCCCTTTTCAGGTGAAGATGAAATACTAGCTACTACTTATATAGCTGTGACACAAGGATCTCTATTCTATTGAGATCCTGAAGGTCAAATATATGTCTCTATCTAACGTGCCTTCTCAGCAGAAGGTTATGATCCTGTTATGGTGTCTCTGCTCTTTTGCTTATGGAAATTGCCTTTTACAAATAGATTAATTTAATTTGTGATCTCAATATTTTATCTTATTCTATAGAGAATATTTGTTTGGTTTTCTGGAGCAATATTATTATATTCTCAGGTTACCAAATTCAAAGCACCTAGATGAGCTAAGTGAGGGGGGATTATTACTGTTATTCTATTGGTGATTTTGTCCACATTAGTCTAAATTACTGATTTGAATGATTCTTTCTCAACGAATTGACTCATCTATTTATAGCTACATCAACCAGCTATTTACACTAATAAAAGACAAAGATGCTAATTGACCGCACCTTCGCTATGCCCAAGCCATGCCCACCAGCCAATCAGAGCGACTGTATGCAAATTAACCCAACCAGGATGGCAGCCGGCAGCCACGGAGCTAGAGCAAGCAGGAGACTTGTTTGCCCCGGCGATAGAGGAAGCCAAGCTTCCCGCCTGCCCTGGCCGGCTGTGGCCTCCACAAAAGGCAACAAAGTTTCAATTATAGAAGATAAATAAATCCCAGATACCTGCTTCCAGCCAGCCTCCACTGGGAGCTTGGGTGGCTGGGGGCTGTGGCCAGCCTGCAAACAGCCATCAGCCCCTCACTATCCTGGCTAGGCACCAGCGGGGACCCCCACCCTGAAGGGGCTGTGGCCAGCCTGCAAACAGCCATCAGCCCCTCACCCAAGCTGGCCAGGCACCCCAGCGGGGACCCCCACCCTGAAGGGGCTGTGGCCAACCTGCAAATAGCCATCAGCCCCTCACCTAGGATGGCCACACCCTCATGGGGTGAGGTTCCCCACTGGGTCCTTGGCCAGCCTGCAAACAGCCATCAGCCCCTCACCCAGACTGGCCAGACACCCCAGCAGGACCCCCCACCCTGAAGGAGGTGTGGCCAGCCTGAAAACGGCCCTCAGCCCCTCACCCAGGCTGGCTAGGCACCCCAGAAGGACCCCTACCCTGATCCAGGACACCCTTCAGGGCAAACCAGCTGCCCCCCCCCCCATGCACCAGGCCTCTATCCTATATAATAAAAGGGTAATATGCAAATTGACCCTAACAGCAGAGCGACTGGGAATGACTGGTCACTATGACACACACTGGCCACCAGGGGGCAGACGCTCAATGCAGGAGCTGCCCCCTGGTGGTCAGTGTGCTCCCACAGGGGGAGCTCTGCTGAGCCACAAGCCAGGCTGATGGCTGCCAGTACAGCGGTGGTGGTGGGAGCCTCTCCCGCCTCCTCAGCAGCGCTAAGGATGTCTGACTGCAGCAAGGCCTGCTCCCCGCTAGCAAGAGGACATCCCCTGAGGGCTCCTGGGCTGCTAGAGGGATGTCTGACTGCCAGCTTAGGCCCAATCCCCCAGGGAGCGATCCTAAGCCAGCAGGTGGTCATTACTCGAGGGGTCCTAGACTGCAAGAGGGCACAGGCCAGGCTGAGGGACCCTCCCGAGTGCACAAATTTTTGTGCACTGGGCCTCTAGTTATGATATATGTCAATATTATGGCTAAGTATTAAATAAAACCTAGTGAAAAGCAAGATAAATGAGCAAATTTAGTTATTGCATCTTGTTTTGCTTTATATTTCCAATGCTAAATTTTTATGATATTTAGTTGAAGACTCATGCATTGATTATCACCCTTTGTGAGTGAGATTGCCTAGATTTCAGAAGTGTTCTTTATAACAATAGGGAGGATATGTGCAATATGTTCCCATGTATTAATAGTGCTCAAGTCATACTATTGAGAATAAAAGAAGACTTCATGAATTGTTTCTTCCTTCTTAGTAACTATAGACTCAATACCTTTTTAAAGTTCTGAGTGATTATTTTTCTCCTTTCTCCCTATAAATAATACAGCAAAGCCTCATTTTTGTCAGAGGTTAGATTAAAATAATGTAGGTCTGGCTTTATAAGAGATGGGAATGAGTTTGTGTTATAGCAATGATTGAGACTACACCTTGGAGCTAAAACTCACTTCCCCCTATACTTATAGTTGTGAATGTGGAATGAGAGAAGATTAATGGACAGTTAGGTGTCCAAAAAAACTAAAACTATGTTCATATAATCAGCAGAAATGTTTTGAGAAAAAAATGAGTATGCAAATAATTGGAAGTCAACAGTGTTACAGGTTCTTCAAATTAGCTTCTGGCTATGAATTTTATATATAATAATTATTACTATATATTACTATACCATTATACACACACATGTATCAGGAAAGGTTAAAGAACAACATGGCCCTAACTAGTTTGGCTCAGTGGATAGAGCGTCAGCCTGAGGACTGAAGGGTCCCAGGTTTGATTCCGGTCAAGGGCATGTACCTTGGTTGCAGGCACATCCCCAGTAGGGAGTGTGCAGGAGGCAGCTGATCAATGTTTCTCTCTCATCGATGTTTCTAGCTCTCTATCCATCTCCCTCTCCCTTCCTCTCTGTAAAAAGCAAATAAAGTATATATATATATATTTTAAAAAGAACAACATGAATTCTTGAAATTGATAAGGTTCTAGGTCATATCTTCTTCTTATTCTGCATGTGAATCAGTAACATTTAGGTCATGATTCTGAAGACACCATGAAGTAGTGCTTATGTAATTCTCACACTATTTGTCCAACACTGAAGGGTTGTAGGAGATGAGAAGAAGGAAATAGAAAACCACAATCCTTTCAAGTGTTTGTGAGACAAAGGGTTTCATGCTTAGTTTTGAGACACACTGAATTCTTTATCCCTTCTTGGAGATAATGCAGTTGGTCACTATTGCAGTTTTTCTGGCAAAAGGCTTTCATAGACTTCCATATTACATAGAAATGAATTTCTCTCACCTTTAGCTTATTTTAGCTTCTTGCTGCATAGAGCACTATCAATCATTGTCTTTTTCTCCTCACCACTCCAACTATGCCTTTAAAATATATCTTCATTGTTTTTTTCCCCTTCTATTGTTAAACAAAAAATAGAATTGCAATATATCTCTAGATTGCAATTTGCTTATTTCACCTAACATGATCAAGGTGAAATATTGACCCATATTGGTACATGAAGAACCAGCTTCAAAATTTTAAAATTAGTATTTCATTATTTGGATAAGGGTCATGCCCCTCCATGGACAGTCCTCCAACTATGCTTGCCACTTTAGAAATCAATTCCTGCTCTTGATTTATATCAAAGTATAGCTTGGAACTTTGGGGGAGGATTCTCTATGAAGACTGGCTACCATCAAAATGGCAGCATTCTTTTAGTTGTATCTTAGGCTTGTGGTGACTCTGTTCAACTTTATTTATTAAAGTGATCCTATCTATTTTCTTTTTTTCTTATGTCTCCTTAGTAAAACACAGCACTATTAATTGCCTATTACATCCTATGGAGAACTTCAATGTTCAGTCATAGCATTAAGATCTCCTGGTTTTAGTTCCACAAGCTCTCTTTGAATGACCTATATATACTATTTTCTGTTTTTGAGAACATTATCAAAGTATCTGATCTGATAATTGACTCTTTCTTATTTATAACATGGAATTATTCAATGTAAATATTCTTTACTGTCACTTCTATAAGATCCTTAGAAGGAGGTGTCTATCATTTTGAACCAGAAGCTCTACTGATTTTTAAAACTGGTTAGTTTTGCATATATAGCATGTTCATATAACACATAACCATAAAAAGATGAGTTTGCAGATTGCCTTTAATCTTGGTTATTGCAGTAAACTATTGATTGCCTCATTCTGTGTTTTTCCCCACTGAAGTCTAAAGTATATTATCAACACAGCATCCAGATTTCCTTTGAACGCATAAATCCCCTGTTCAGAACACACCCTTGTTTTTTTAACTAATCCAGAGTAAAGTCCCGGATTCTTGTCATTTCTTGCATATCTCAGCATGCTGTTGCCACCCATGACCTCTGACTCCACTCCTTCCTTTACATACTCAGCTCCCTAGAATGCCTATCTCCTATTCTCTTTTGGAATAGAATCGATAGGCCAGAAATAAACCCACATATATATGTTCAATTAATTTATGATAAAGGAGCCAAGAATATACAATGGGGAAAGGACAGTCTCTTCAATAAATGGCTTTGGGAAAACTGGACAGCCATATGCAAAAAATAACAATTTTAAAAGGGTTAAAGAGACTTCATCAAACTAAAAGGCTTCTGCACAGCAAACCATCCTCAAAAAATAAATGTTGGGCTATAGAATGGGACAAAATATTTGCAAATCATATATCTGATAAAGGTTTAATGTCCAGAATACACGGAGAAGTCATACAACTCAATGGCAAAAGAAAAATCCTATTAAAAATACATAGAGCAAAAACTATATAAGAGCCTAAGCGACCGTTATGATGGAACGACTGGAACAACCAGTCACTATAATACACACTAACCACCATGGGGCAAACACTCAGTGCAGGAACTGCCCCCAGCCTGCAAGCCCTGATCACCGATGGGGCCTGCTGGCCAACCTCCTGGCCCCTCCCCATGACTGGCAGGCCCTGATCACCCAATCAGGGCTGGGCCCTGGACTAGGATGGAGAACTGGGGTGGGTGGTGCCAGATGCAGGTGGTGAGGGAAGGAGGAGAGGGAGAGGTTCGGAGGGAGGAAGTGGGGAGGTGAGGAACAACATGGTGGGGTTCATGGACTGTGAGGGAAAGAGGAGGTGGGGAGGCGGGGAACCTGATCAGCCCTGATCGCCAGCTAGGCCTAGCTGTATACAAATTCCGTGCATTGGGCCTCTAGTAGTCAATAAGCAGTATAAATTGGTAGATACAGAATAGTCACAGAGTTATAGATTACAGCATAGGGAGTATAGCCAACAATATTGAGCTAGGAGGGCACTTAAAGCAGTGGGGGGACCACTCTGTTAAGTACATGATTTTCTAACCACTTTACTATACATAAGAAACTAACACAATAATATTGAATGTAAACTGTAATTGAAAAAGAATAACAATTAAAGGAGGAAATTCCATGAAACAACAGCGACTTTGGGGGAAAAGTCTAGCCTCATAGGTCAAATTATTTTATTAACTTAATTATTTGAATTTAGAAACTGCGTTGAAAAGGATTGCTTTGATTTAATATGTAAACCTAGTAGTCTACAATTTTTTTTAAAGTAAAGATTTCTGTAAGTTGTAGAAATATGAAATTTAAAGATATAAACTGTCTTGGGGCTGAGTTTATATTTTGGTCCGCCATTGAACCCAATGCTGAGCAAAGTACTGTTATATGGTATTTGCTTAATCAGTCAGTAAATGTACTCTCCTAGTGGGTGAGCAGATAAATAAACATACTATGACAATAAAATATGCAATTGTCTGTCAGTACCAAAACAAAACCGTGGTCTATATATACAAATGAAATATTATTCAGCCATAAAAAAGAAGGAAATTCTGCCATTTGCAAAAATATGAATGGACCTTGAGGGCATTATGCTAAGTGACATAAGTCAAAAAGAGAAACATAAATACCATAAGGCTTCACTTATATGTGGAATCTAAAGAAAACTTCCCTCATAGATACAGAGAAAAGATTGGGGCGGGGGGTTGTGAAATGGGTGAAGTGGGTCAAAAGGTACAAACTTCCAGCATGGTACAAACTTGTATTTCTGAAAGTTGCTAAGAGACTAAACTTTAAAAGTTCACATCACAAGAAAAGAATCTGTAATTCTGTATGGTGATGGTTGTTAACTAAACTTACTGTGGTGATCATTTCACAAAATATACACATATCAAATCATTATGCTGTACACTTGAAACTAGTATAATGTTGTATGTCAATTATATCTCAGAAAAAATAATAAAATAAAATTTTATCTCCTCTGGAATTCTTATTCCCTATTCTCTTTTCGCATTGGCAACCATCTGACATTCTATACATTTACTAGTTTATATGTTTATTATCTCTTTCCTTCTCAAGGGGCCAAAAGCCTTATTAGGGCGTAGCTTACTTGTTTTGTTATCATAGTATCTCCAGCTCCTGTATATGTACATAAAAATGCCAGGCATATGGTAAGCATTCAAGAAATATTTGCTGAATGAGTAAATAAATGAAAATAGAAAAGTATTGATTCTTCATGTATTAATTTCAAAACTGGATGTCTTACTGAATTGTTTCATTGTTTCCTAACATATTTTCAGCTGTTTTTTTTTTTGGGGGGGGTGGATTTTTTTAGAACTGCTTTCTAATTTCTAACATTTATACCTTTTATTTTGCTATTAATTTCTACTTGCTATATCTAGAATTTTCATAATATTAAATATTGGTGGTGATTTTTTGAATTGTTTTGTTCCTTACTTTCATAGTAATTCCTCTAATGTTGTACAATTAAGTAGATTTTGATTCAGGTGTGAAACACAACACAACACAGACACCCCCTCCCCCCACAAACACACACATACTCACCACATGAATAATGTATTTCCTCCAACTTACTAAGGATTTTATCAAAACTAGTAGGGTTTTACTAAATTATTTATTGGAATTTATTTATTTATATATGAATACTTTTACTGATTTATAGAGAGAAACATTGATGTCAGAGCGAAACATCAATCAGCTGTATCCTGGGCATGTGCCCTGAACAGGAATTGAACAGGCAACTTTTTCATGTACAGGATGACGCCCAACCAACTGAGCCACATTGGCCAGGGCTGGAATTTATTAACATGAATATGTGTCTTATCATTTGACCTGTTAATATGATACATTGCAATAATAGACTTCTCAATAGTGAGCACTGTGCATTCAAGGAACTGGCTTTGCTTTGGTATAGTTTCCTTTTATTACTGATGGGTTACAGTGTCTTAACAGTGTAAGTTTCATTTTTCTATATATGTCAAATTGATCTCTTAATTTTCTGCAATTTTTGTCATGAAAATTATGCTGGCCTCATTAAAGAGTGAACTTTTCTCTTTTTGCTCTGAAGTAGCTCAAAATTAAAGGTTTCTTGACAATGTGAAATAATTTGTGAGACCATGAGGCACAACATTCCTATTATTTGTTTATAATTATATGTGTATGTGATTTTCTTGGAGGAAAGGGAAGATTTTAAAACACTCACAATTTTCTAGAGTTAATGATCTATTCTGATTTCTTATTTCTTCCTGGAAAAAGTTTACTTAGTAGTATCTTTTCAGTTGGCATTTTTTGGTTTAAATTCCACAAAATAATTTAATAATTTTTTCAATCAGATTTTACATTTGCCTGCCTAATAAATCTATGCCTGTGATGATTTCTTTTTTCTCTTTTCTAATTCTTTGTATTTGTGCTTTTTTGATTGTGGTGCATTTCCTTTGTGCTTTAGTGGTCTGGGAAAATTGGCAGAGAACGGCACCTGTGGCATTGAGGCAGGAACTCAAACATGGGCCAGGAGCAGCTGGTGGTGAGGTGATCCTTCACCTCTGTGCAGCTGCTGGCAGTACCAGTGCCAGCTGACTGTTGAGAATGCTGGAGACATCTCAGACCAGCAAGCTAAAGTGGTCCAGAAATCACTGTGAAATCCTGCTTTGTGGCTAAGGTCCGATTTCTGGTTCTCCAAGAAGGTACCAGCATTTGGCCAATGAAAAAGCTTAATTAGTTGACTAATGCAAGGCCGTAGGTAAATATTTAGGGGGGCGGGTATATTTGGGTGAAAAATGGTCTTTGGAACTAGGGTGGAAACTCAAAATTCATCGTAATTTTAGTATTAAAATTTTGTCTTAGGCTGAGGTCACAGAATTTGGGTAAAATAAGCCTCTTCTATTTTGTATCCATCCCCCCTTTTTTCTCATTGCTTTTTTGGATCCTTAATGGCTTTTCTATTGTGCATGATAAACGGAGAATTTCCCAGCGTTTCATACCACTCACTTTCCCAGCATTCTGCGATATACAGCCAATTCTTCACTGGGCATGTTCTCCTGATATCACATAGGTACCTCAAATTCAACATGTGCTCAGTCGAGTTGATCACCCTCCACATGTATCCTCTATGCCTATGTTCCCTGTATTCATTTGCTGCTGCTATTCATTAAGATTCAAGCCAGAGCCTTAAAATCTACTTAAACTCTTTGGCTTTCTTCACCCTTCACATGAAATACCAATTACTGTTTGCACATTTTACTTTTTCCTCATTTTAAAAATTTCATCCCTCTCCACACTTACCTCAGATAGTCTACCTAATTCAGGCTCTCATCTTCTTCTTCTTGGATTTTGTTCACTGACATTTGATGCATTGAATATAAGTGAATCTGGGGTGCAATAAACCAGGAAAGCCTATTAGGAATAGGCTTTCTAAGTATCTAAGGAATGTAGTCCTTTGTAATCTATCTCCAGATATGTGAGCCTGAACTGTATGTTTGTGGCTTGACAGTATTTTTATTGCTTACCCTTATTCCCTCATATTCTTGATCTTTGTTTCAGATCCTTCTTGGTACTCTGACCACAAATCTAATTGACTCACTCAGTCACCATGGTTAGAAAGAAAGGATCAAGATCAGGTGGATATCTCATTGGCAAAGAGCACAGAATTTGATGACACACTGTTGGCAAGGGTGTGGTGAAGCAGGCATGCCTACATATTTATGGGAGGTTAAGTTGGTAGGACCTCTTTGGAGGGTAATTTGGCAATGGCTATTAAATAAAAAATTGACCCAGCAAATCCATTTCTAGGAATTTATCTTACAGATATACTTACACATGTGCACAAAGATGTATGCACCTAAGTAATAACTGAGGAATAGTTTATAGTAACAAAATAATAACCAATATAAATGCATTTGCAATATAAGCATTTATCAAGTGCGTAATGAATAAATAAAGTATGTTTCAACAATACAGGGGACTACTATACAATTAATATGAATTAAGTAGATATGTATAAGAAACAATCTCTAAGATTTTGTGATAAAAAGGCACGGATATGTGCAGCATGTGCTATCATTTGTTTACCAGTTGCACACACACAAATCTCTAAATAGACAAACACACTAATGTACTGCTTGTAATGTATGGGCAGGAGATCAGAAATCCCAGGGTTTCAGACTTACTTTTAACTGTACAGCTTTTATAAAGTATGATTGTCTTGGTCATGTGCACGTATTACCTAATTTAAATTAAAATACAAAAAACAAAACAAAATAAAGAGCAAGTGGGAAGTTTTGATGGTTGTAGTTTAAAATATTTGAAATATCTGCATAAAAGTGGTATATATTTTTGCCTTTCCTCACATGGGAAGTCAGATATACAGTATATGTGAATAGGTAGTTATAAGCACAACATGCACATTTGTGTAAATAAAAATGTTTGGTAAATCATCTTAAAAACACAAATGACACTTAACTCTCCTAACTTATAGCAAGTACATTTAGATGTTATGTATTTAAGATGTTAATCTTTTAACCCATGTTAATAGCATAAGTTTGCTTTTCAAAAACAAATGTACAAAGTAATGTATGCATAGCTGATGTTTCATCTTCAGTTTCTCTCCTGGAAGATTTTGACTTTAATATATTCCTAGAAGGACAATTAAGATATAATAAAATGTATAATTAACCGTTCAAAAACTTTAGTGAAGCACTTAATTGCTAAAATGATGAACGTTTATTTTTTTCTGCAATACATCACAAATTCATTTGAGATAAAAGCATTATTCATGTATACAATAAAAAAACCTGTCAGAAACAACTACATTGAGTACAACAGCTGGCCTTTCTCCATAAATGGCTGTCTGGATAATGTTACCTGAATTTTAAAGAAATGTTAACCCCAAAAAGAACCTCTCTGATTGTCCTGCCACATATAGCTCAGTTTTGATTAGCTCTGAAAATCTGTAACATAAATGCTTCCCAAGAAATCAGGCCATAATATAGCAGCTTTAAACAAGAAGAATGAGAGCCTAGGGGTAGTGATGCTAAATTTACATTGAATAATCAAAACTGCAATTAATAGGATGAACACCATTGTAAGATTTCTTAACTAAGAGAACATATTTTTTAAAGTATTTTATGCACCAACAATATACAAAGAGCAAATACTGAGTTTCAAACATCTAAATGAAACACCCCCCAAATGGTGGCAATCTAGAACTTGAAAAGCATTTTCTAATTGGAGCAGGGCTATAAACCTGCCCTGTTATATTATGGGTTGTTTCTCAGACCAGCCCAAAAGACACTTTGTAGCAGTTTCCTGAAATAACATACATCAGAAATGTGACCTGAACATACTATTGAAATACTGGTAAAAACTAAAGCACTGAATTGCAATAGGAACCATGACTGTACAGCCCAGAGAAATAGCATATGTGAATCACTCAAAGAGAGAACACAATTAATGGTTAACTAAAATTCTTTGCAAAAAAGGTGGTGGTGTGAAGGAAAATGAGAGGGGACTAGAGGGAAAATCTGGGCACTTGGAGAACACAGTGGCCATCCTTAGCTCCAGAGGCCTGCATAGTTCCCGTGGAGGCCTGAAGGGAGAGGCCCCCCAGCCACAAAGAGCTTCATCTCAGGCCAGTTGTAGCAGTGGGTGTAGAGAGCATTGGGGAACTCATTCATGCCACCGAAGTTCACCCACAAATCATTGTGATTGAGCCAGCCTCTGCCACACGTGAGCCTGAGCTTCCTCCTTGTAGGCTCCCTGGTGGAGCCCAAGATGGCAGAGGCTTTCTCCTCCAGGAACTTCTGGGCACGGGTGTCATAGAAGAGCAGGGAGCCATGGCCTGTGCCCACAGTGATGATGTGCTGGTAGAAGCTCAGCGAGCGCACACCAGTGCCGCCCTCTCGGGAACACAGGGGCCTGATATTCTGCTGGCGCTGGCGCGGATCCACAAAGGAGACGTGGGACTGGGAGCCCACCGCATAGAGGGACAACTCGTCGCAGTAGGTCAGGCACACGTTCTCTCTGCAGTAGGGCAGCCTGATGGTCAGCAGCCTGGACAGGGTGCTGCGGGCTTTCCACAGGTGGAAGTAGCCGTCTAGGGACACTGATCCCAGCTCCTGGTTCTTGTGATTAAAGGCCAGGGCCCGCACCTTTCGGTTACTGGGGTTGGTGCTGGACCTGGGGATGGTCTCCATGTCCCTCGGACGGATGTGGGCGTACACGGGGAGCTCTTCATCATTGTGCCAGGCTTTGCTGCCATTGACCCTGTAGGGATCCATTCGCCACAAAGCCACAGTGCCATCGCGGGACCCGCTCACAGCCACAGTGTCGCTCATCCAGGCGATGGCGAAGATCCAGTCCCTGTGGCCGTGGCGGTCGCCCAGGCACACGGGGTCCAGGGTGGGCAGCTGGTAGACAGCCAGGCTGTTGGGGTTCTCGCCCCCGGTGGCCAGAAGCGTCTTGGAGGGATTCAGCTCGATGGCGTGGATGCCACAGCTTGGCTGGGCCCGAGGCGGCTCGGGTTTCCGATTCCGCAAGAGCGGGATGCGCGTGATCTGGCCCGACTGCACGTCCACCACGAAGAGCGTGTTGCACTTGGTGCCGCACACCACCTGCCTGGCGTTCAGCCACTGCGACGCGAACACCTTGTTGAGGGTGCCCAGGGCCAGCTCGCGCTCCCGCAGCAGCTCGGGCAGCTTGTGCACCGCGTAGCCGCGCAGTCTGCCCTCGAAGCCCCGCAACCCCGCGCGGCCCCGCGCGCCCACCTCGCGGCCCATCAGATAGGGCACCAGCGAGCGCCGCGTGACCGGCCGCTTCCGCTTCTTGGGCAGCAGCAGCGGGCCCCCTCCAGCCGCCGCCACCAAGCCCTGGGACGACGAGCTCGCAGCGGCCCCCTCGATGGCGGGCGCTTTCCGCTTCCTGCTACCTGTTTGCTCCGTGGCCATGGTGGGCGGCCGGCGAGTGGTGAAGGTGACAGAGACGGCGGTGCGGCGGCTGTGGCGATAGCGGTGGCGGTGGCGGTGGCGGTGGTGGTGTGTGTCACCCGTGGTGGCCGTGGCGGCGGCGGGGACTGAAGCACCTCAGTTAGCCGGGCGCGCGGGCTCTCAGGGACCAGGAGTCGTGGACGTCCTCGGGGCGCGGAGCCTACCGAGTCGGGGGCGCGGCGGCAGCGAAGTAGGAGAGGATGGCGGGGTCGGGGAGGAACAGGGCCCGGGAGCTGATCTCGGGCAGAGCAAGGCAGCTAGGGCGGCGGCGGGGTTCTAGGCGAGGGCGGGAAGTGTGGCTGGCGGCAAGGCTGGAGCCCAGTGGGTGTGAGATGAGGACTGTGCTGGAGTCTGTTAAAGAGGGGGCGGAGGCAGCGGGAGGAGCCGGCGGGGAGCGGGGGTGGGGTGCCTGGTAGCGTACGCCCGGGTGGGAGGGGTCGGAGGGGGGCGGGAGGTGGGGGATGGAGCCTGATCAGGGAGACTCAACCCGGACCAGCGCTCCAGGATTCCCAGATGGCTCGGAACACATCCACTTGATAGCCTACTGGGGGTTGGGGGCATGAGGGTTCACTACCCCCAAGACAACAACCAACTAGCCTTCTTAAAATCCCTACTTAAATATACTGCCAAAGCTAAAATGTGGTCAAGTATGATGCTAGAAGGAACCAGGACAATTTCTGTGGAAGAAACAAATGTGCACTTGGTGCAGTCCTGGGAGGCCCTTTGCTGCAATTAGATAGTGAACTTGATGGGCAATGAGGGTGTTTGGCAGAGGTACAGAGACCCTTCTCCTTAGGTCTGTCCTGCAGCCCCTCTGGTCTTGGGCATTGACCGACTGTTCATAGTAGTTAAATTGGACAGAATTGGGGGGGGGGGTTGATCATGGACTAATATGAGGCAGGTACATAAAGGAAGACATGAATGAGATTATGCCTACATTGTTTATTGATCGTCCAAGAACATATTTTATAGATTGGAGCAGATTTTCAGATATAAAGGCATGTGTCTTCAGAAATGGGATACCAAATCATTTCTGATATATTGTATTTAGATGTAAAACAAGGCTGTCCTTAAAAATATTTTGACACCTTATCTACATTTGTGTGTATAGCCCTTGCATTATCCTTATTCTATCCCAGGCTCTGTAACGTATTAATTGGATATAGATAGCCAGTTATTATTTTCCCTTAGATATTGACCTACCATTAGCTTCAACTACACCATATATGCTAATGCATCCTAGTTTTTTTTTTTTAAAAAAAAAAAAAACAAACACAAAACTCTATCCTAAACCAACATGTCCAACTTCCTTTGTCATTTTGCATACCAAAACAGAACATTTATAGCATGGAATACTATGCAGCAGTTTTAAAAAAGGATCTCTTATCCTTTGAGACAGCAAAGAGGCACCTGAAGATATTATACTAAGCTAAATAAGCAAGTCAGAGAAAGACAAGTACATGATCTCACTCATATGTGGAATCTAAAGAACAAAATAAACTGATGAACAAAATGGATCCAGAGACATAGAAACATGGAACAGACTGATGAATCTCAGAGGGAAGGCAGGTGTGGGTGGATGGGAGGGAAGAGATTAACCAAAGAATTTGTATGCAGATAATAGTGTGGTGAAAGGCCTGGGGTGGGAGGAGGGAGGGGGCAAGAAGGGGTCAATGGGAAAAAGGGGAGGCACATCTGTAATACTTTCAACAATAAAGATATATTTAAAAGAAAACCAGAACTTCAAATTCAACATATTTAAACTCAAGATTTTCATTTCAACTCCCAGGCACCTAACCATTTATTGTCTCCTTTCTTAATGAATAAATAGCACCACTATCCATCCAGCTGTGTAAACCAGAGTCCTAAGAATAATCCCTGACACATCATAATGCTTCCTTATCTTCGGGTCCAATATCTATCTTCTAACATTTTTTTTCAAATCCATTCAATTCTCACCATCTCCACTGCTACCACTCTTGTATGCCACTGTTTTGTCTTGACAACTGTAGTAGCCTCCTAACTAATTTTCCTGCAACCATTCTTGCCCTCCTCCATTCAGTTCACCACACTGCAACCAGAGTGATGTTTTCAAAATGCAAATATGGCCATCTCACTGCACTGATTTAAATTAAGCAATGTTTTCCTATTGTCTTAGGATAAAGACCAAAATACTTAACACAGTGGACAAGGTCCTACGTGATATGACCAACGTTCCCCAGCCACATGCCTACCTTCTCCTTATTACTTGCTTTGCTCCATACACACTGGTCCTTTTTAATTTCCTCAATAATATTATGTATTTTCATGCCTCACATCCTCTTTTGCATGCTGTTCTCTCTGCCTGGGATGCTTTGTACCCATGGTCTTACCACCTTTTACCCCCTACAGATTCTTTACCTTGTTAACTCCTTATTGTTCAGGTTTTAGGTAATGTGTCACTTTCTTAGGGAAACCATCCTTGGGCCCCCAGAATAGGTCATATCTATTTTACATGGATATCCTCTTAATTGTACTTCATGGCATTTGCCACAGGTGAAATTGCATGGTGATTTCTGTGACTGCTTCATGTCTGAATCTATCTACTGAAGGATTGAACAAAAACTCCACAAAGGCAGAGGCAATATCCACTATACTATATATTCAGTGTTTAGCACGTCATAGAAATTATCAATAGTTGTTGAATAATGTCGACTGAAATTTAAGAGACCTTGGTGGATCTCTGTTTAACTGGTACATCAGAACCCAATCCTTCACACTACAGTATTTGATAAGCCACCTCTAATTTAATATAATTTGGAGGAAAAACCCTTCACTACCTGACATTTTAGAGTCTTTAAAATTATTTACTCTTCAGCTGTTTTAGTTTTGATTTTCTCTGGATGTATTCAAAGTGTAATCCACTCAATTTTTCCAAAAAGTTAATCTTCTATTCTTACAAAACTCTGGATCAATTGATGTGATAGGCAGCCCTAGAAAACACTGAACAGTTAGATTAGAAGTAGAATACTTTGCTGTCAAAGATTACTGTGTTGGGGGGGGGGGAGGATGAGAGCATGAGTGGGGGTCGGGGGCAATGAGGGGATAAGGACACATATGTAATACCTTAATCAATAAAGAAAAAATGAGGAAAAATAAAGATTACTGTGTTGTCTTTCAGCTGTGGAGAAACCTGCCAGAGATGGCGTGATACTGTTTCCAGGTATGGTTGATCACCTTAACTCCAAGGATCAGCCTTGATGGAATGAAAGATGTTTCAAGCAGAACCTCAGCATTTAATACTTACCTTAAATGGGCATTTTAATATCATGAAATGATCATAGGAGATTGCCATAGTCCTTTGAAAGATCATTATTTCAAGTGATATCGAAGAGTGCCCTATGTTAGCTACCATTGTCTTTAATACACAAGTTAATGGTTTAATGTCATTTGTAGATAGATCAAATCTCCTGGTGCAGATGCTGTGTACAAAAATGTTTAGTGTCTATGTATATATTGATGACATGGTTTTACTGTCAAGAACTAGAGTAGTCTTATTAACATATTACAACTAAGAATGCCTCAATATTTAGGTAGAATCCTAAACCATTCTTTTGGCACTTATCTTTCAAAACTCAGCTATTCGGTTCAAAATTCCTTATAGCAGCAGAGAACTTATTTTTGTACTTTCATATTCAGGTGGGAAACAGTTTGTAACTAATGTATAATGTAAAGCAGTGGGAAACTTGCCACATTTTCTTCCTTCATGAAAAATGCCTGTTGACTATTGTTTTCATCATTTTTCCAGGTCAACTCCATTTATGCCATTTTTTGTTAGAACTTAGATGTCTGAGAGACGCACATGCCCAGGTACACTAGAATGGATCTGAATGTAAGCTCCACACAAAGTCTGGTTTTACCTGACGATATCCCCACATATTACCTCTGTGAGAAAGTAGGGTGCCCTGTCATCTGGATGAGAATTTTGGTAAAGCTTCTCAACCTTCATAAGATGACAACTTTATCACATACTGTATATTAAATTAGCACAGTAGTTGGTAACATGGCCTCTTAAAGAACTATATGGCTCAGGCAACTTACTTGACCTCTCATGGCCTCACTTTACCCACTGAAAAATTTACTTTTTAATCTTTAGAATTGTGTAGAAACAAATATTTAGTAAATATTAGCAATTATTAGTGTCTGGATTTTCCAGACTATGACCCTGCCTATGATGAGCAATACATACTACTGCCCTTTCAGACATTATCAGAGAATATAACCTCAGTGCGTCTTATCTCTTCAAATTGCCCAACCATCCCCTTGTCTGCCTGGGAAAGTCATATTCATCCCTCAAGTCTCATCTCAAATTTTACCTCCACTTTGATAACCTCTTTGACTCTGCCAGATAGGTTTAAGGGCATCTTCTTTTGTACAATATCAACACACTTTATTATAATTAACTTACTTCACTCTCTTCATTGGCTTGTCTAATTCTAAAATAACTTCAAGCCCCTTTGAGGTAGAAATATTTAATGTAGATTCTGGGGATCCAAATATATATATATATATTTGGATCCCCAGAATCTACATTATAACAAATGAATTAGTTATAAACACTAAAGTTATAAACACGGTGCCTGGCGTATGGATGGCTCATGCACATTTGCCTAAGGAATGAACAAATGAATTCAGCTTCTATCCAAACTTGCTAATAAAATGTAATAGTTAGCCTTCTGATGGCTGATTCACATACTTCCAGTTTTATTCTTGAGTCACCTTACACCACCAGAAGACTGTATCATAGGATCAAATTAGCTTAGTATTTGCTGAATCAGTTTCACTCACTTGCACTGTAATATTATGCTTTAGGCACTTATCAAAGGTCATTAAAAATAGCCAAACAGCTATATGGATATCCCTTCACATTTATTGTATATCTGTTATGAAGGGCACTGTTCAGCATATTGCTCAATGTCCCC